GGGGGGGGGGAATCTGTACTCTGGGGGGGAAACTCCGTAGTTTACGGTACACCTATCACGCCCGCCCGATGGCAGGCAGCTCTGTGCCAATACACATCCCGCTCTCCGTGAACCCCCCGACATTTCCGAGAATCCGAACTACTACTTCGAAATACATGTAGTATCCCGGAGCAACGGCAGATCAGGTGCTGCATGAACAAACAAGCACAAGTTCGTTCGACAGCACAATATGTACAACCCTCGCCAACACACACAGGCGGCGCCATACATGGCCAAGAGGGGATGTTGCGGATACGCAGAGTACAGTCGGCTTTCTCAATGACGGTATCCTCACTACAGCGGAATGCCTTCTAGAGCGGCACCATAACCTCTTGTCACTACCTACCGTCATTGAGGACCGCCGATTGTAGAACTAACAAACCCTTCACCAACAAAGATCACGCAGCAAAAGAACAACCGTTAACAGCAAATTCTCGAAAGGTTGTCGCCTTGCCAACGTACATGAATTACTCTTGACGATAGAGGCTCGAATACCTAAAGCCCTTTGTCCCCTTACCTGTACCACGATGGAATTAACGTTCGGCATATCGATACCATTCTCGATGATGGAGGTCGCCAGCAGGATGTCTCCTCTGCCCAGCGTGAATTGCAGCACCACATCCTCGAGGTTCTTGATCTGTCGCGTGCCGAGATCGTTGTTTTGTTGGTTGAGAGTTCGTGAGAGTTGTCATTCTTGTGGCCAGCTGGTAACACTGCACAGCAGATAAGCGTCTACAAGACAAAAAAAAAAACAGAGAGAAAAAAAGAAGACGAAAACGAAATACAGAAAAAAAGGTCCCCGGGGGAATGGATTCCAAGAAAAATGAAAACACGTTGCCTCCACACAAATACCATGTACCCCAAAACAAACTTAGCAACTAAAGAAATATTTTGAATGTGCTTGTTGTTTTGCTAAACTTTTTGACTCTTGAAATAAAGTTTAAAACGTTTGGTTCAAGGGAAGACATATCAAGTTACACAGCTGTGATACAAACATAACGCTATGCTTACCTTAGAGTGCCCAACCGCCACCCTGGCGTTTGGAACACACCGGCTAATCTGTAGCCAAGCGTCCTCTATTTGGTTGATCCTCGGAACCACGTAAAACACCTGTTGGATTCCAACCAAGAGAGGGCTGTTGCTATTGTTGTTGGCATTGTCCGTTGTTGATGCGGTCTTGACACACGAACGGAAACTCTGCCTGCACTGCACCCAGCACCTCTTCCCTTCCGGCACAGTGGGTAGGCGAGCTATTATTCATACTACGACAAACAAGAGGTGCTCAAGCCAAGAGCCGAGTCCACGACGCCCAACCTGACCCTGGCCACGACCTCGGCTTGGCGGAGAACTAACCGAACCGCACAAAAAATCACTCACACGCCACGACACGACGGCGATGAGGGCTTCGTCCTCCCGCCGTGACATGGCACGTCTCTACCCAGTACCTTCTTCTGTCCGAACTATAATAGTCTTAACACTTGAACGCGGTCGATTCCCGTGGTCACACGCCAACTTACCCCAAAAAGGAATACTTGAATGAAAAATGTACCCGGAAGGGTCCGCAAGTCAAAAGAAATCAACGACAGATAGCCTGGAACCCTCCACTCGCCTCTACAGTACACGCTATGCGAGGTACACATGACACTAGAGGCACAACAACAGCAACGAACAACACCAACGCTGCTACCGCAAAGCTCACGTGTTTGGTCAGGACACCTACAAGGACGGCGACACATGAACGGACTCAACAGCGATAGCACCGAGAGAAACGCACACACACACACACACACACACACACACACACACACACACCTGACCCCCTCGACTCATCTCCCGAGTGAGAGCTCGCTGCACGATCTCGTCGGTCCCTTTCATGATGTACGTCGTCACGTTCTGACGGTTGGCGGGGGGACTGAAGATGGTACTAAGGTCCCGGATGCCGGTGAGGGACATGTGGAGGGTCCGCGGAATCGGCGTCGCCGTCAGCGTCAGAACGTCCACGCCCGTGGTCAAGACCTTTTTTTTTTTCAGGGTTGGGGATCGTCAGGGTAGGGTAAGAAAGTGGCTAAAAGGGTTATTTAACGAATGTCATGCGAGGGGGCAAAACGTGTGACAAGACTGACCTGTTTTCATTGGTCAGCCGGTAAGCATAGTGGACTGGATGCAAACTAAATAAACACGCACACATTCATGTCCAGAAAAAACTCGTGCATTGTCAACGGGTTATAGATAGCCCAACAGTTCATTAATGAAACACACACAAAACATATGCTTCCTCCTGCTAAGACTAACTTACTGGTGTTCACCGATCAGCGGCATACCGCACTCGACGCCAACTAACGAAAATAAACACATACACGAACGAGTGCACAAGGAAACACAACACACTACCAACCGCTTGTCTCGACGGTCCACTGCCTTCAATCTTTTCGTGTAACTCGACGTCAAACAGCGAACAACACACACTTACACTCGCTCACAAACATAACACAGCACCACCTGCTACTCTCCGCGACTCATTACCCTAAAACTTTTCCTTCAGGTTCACACTCTCAGAGCCTTAATTGCGCCTCTCCTTCTGACTGGACGTCACCCAACGGAAAACACACACGCACACACGCGCACAAACCTAATACACCACCCGCTGCTCTCCATGACCCACTAAACCTAAGTTTTTCCTTCTGGTTCACACTACCATCACCTTCTCTTCTGGTCACAACACTCTCACTTACCTTGAGCTTTTCCTTCTGGTTCACGCCGAACTTCTGCTCCTCGTCGATGACCAGCAGCCCCAGGTTCGGGAACTCCACCTTCCGGCTGAGAAGCGAATGCGTCCCGACAACCTAGGCCGTGAGGATCAACAGCAGAAGAACAAGAGCATAATCACAAAAATAAATAGCACCCTAAGTCATGAGGATCAACCGCAGAGGGACAAGAAGAACATCAACACAATAATTAATGGCATCCTAAGTCATGGCGATCAACAGCAAAAGAAGAACACCACAAAAAAAAAAATAGAGAGATGGCATATGACATCGATGGGAGGTCCGTCAAGCGGTTATTCGGCCACCGTCACCCCTCTTGTGTAATACTGCTGTTGATCTGTGTGTTCTGTTGCTGTGAGTAGCACTGCTGTGGCAGACAACGCCTCGTGCTACTGCTGTTGATGATAAAGAGCTACACGGCCCAGCGCACCATAGATGCGCACTCCGGCAACTCCGGCGCATGCCCCTGCTGCCGCGGGACAGATGGTGTCCGTACACACCAAACATTCAGCAATGACTGTCGACTGGCCGGTGCCCAAAACCAACGCTAAAATACACAACTGGTATACTATTCTACAAGGAAAACACAAAAGCCAAAGGTGTTTTTTTCTTGTAAAAATATACTCAAGACAGATTTTGTTTTATCTCCGTTAACCCGCAGGTGCAAAAGAGCCCAGGATAACTTTCCGCGAAAATGTTTTAACTCACCACGCGGACGGTTTCATTTCGGATGGCCTCCTTGATGCCCCTGCTGCCCATCGAGTTGCCCCCTCTCAAGAGCGCCACGTTAACATCCGCGGGCATTCTCTTTAGAAGGGTCCTACAAAACACACACGAGGCAGAAAGTTGACAGGGGGGTGCACCCTTGTAAACGACTGTGATAGTCGATAGACCATAGACCTTGCATGTCAGAACGAAGCGATACGCCGAGGTTTCACGGGGGTGTACCCTTGTAAACGAATGTGATAGTCGTGAGACCATAGACCTTGCATGCCAGAACGAAGCGACATGCCGGTTTTTTACCGGCCCATGCTATTATCTACGTTTAACGACGATGGACCACAAGAGGGAGTGGACGGGGGTGGCAACAAGGTGGCAAGTGGTTCAAGTCAAAGGCCGAAATGAGTCAAGTCGACCCCCTCACTACAAGCATGCTTATTTCCTTTGCAGAGTGGATTCCAAGCATTCCTAAAATAAAATTTCCAAGCTGTGTCCCGTCAGATGCTGACAGCAACGTGGGAGAAAAGAAACTCCAAGTGGCCACCAACTACACGAAAAACACGAAGGTATTCGTGTCTCCAAACTACCAAGGTAGACTCGAAGCAGGTGAGCAAGTGCAAATCCTCCCCCGCGTTACAACAGTGGCAACGGAAGAAATGCATGGTTTCAACGACATCTCGAAAATCGGACGCCGTTCCGTCGACCCTGTACGTAGCTGGGAGTGTTTCACATTCCTCAGAAGGTCCGAGTTTACGTAGAGTAGAGCGTCTTCGTTTTCCATTTAAATGGACAGCAAGAGGAGCGGCTGCCACAACCCCCCACAGAAATCAACATCGACATCGACGACGACGACGACGACATCAACATCGACATCGACATCGACGACGACAACAACATCAACACCGACATAGGTACAGCAGCAGCACAGCAGCAGCACCGGCGACAAGGACAAGACCAAGAGTGGTCAAGGCGAACGCCGGTCAGCATTTATCCACCTGTAGTGTTGGGCGGCCAGGATCGTCGTTGGCGCCAAAAGCGCCACCTGTTTGTTGTGCCGGACCATCCTGGTTTTTCGTCGACGTTTTCGAAGCGAGGGGAGGCAGCAAGAAGGGGGATTACGTCGTAAACGTCTTGGTTAGTGTTTCTTAAGCGGAGCGAAGAAATAGCGACATAGGAGTACACGAGAGGGGGCGCTAGCCAAGAAACATCATCCTGCTTGTTCGTTGTTGTTTCCGGAGCGGAGCGAGGTACACGGGAGCTACAGACCACGCGGACGAAACTCTTGACTGATGATGAGCTACTATTTCGAGTCGCGTTGAGAGCCTCCGACAACACGAGTGCGCACGCTGTACCACCAGATGGCAAACAAAATGGAATCGATAATTCCTATCACAACACCTACACGGCTCAGGAGCGGGAGACACAACAGTTCTTACCGCTGGGAAACCCAGATTGCAGTATTACGAAGTATACCGCTTACAAGACCCCGCCTTTGCGAGGATATTATCATGAATCTATCAAATAATTTACACGGCAGGCACACAGCGTTCCACGCAGCTTCGCGACGTCATTGTAGCAAAAGGAACAAGAGCCCTGTGATCATTCAAATCACCTTGAATCAACTCGAAGTTTTAATCCAATGAAAAGAAAATCAATGTGGAAGCAGCCGTGGGCACATGGCAATCAATACCAAAACCAATCTATGATAAAAAAAAGAGGAGATTACGATACCCCGTAACCCTACAAAAACCAAGATCCCCGTGGAGGCTACTGCACCGCTTACGGCAGTACCTGAACATGGCGCGGAGAGCCACCTCGGTCTTTCCGAAACCCACGTCGCCGCACAGCAGTCTGTCCATGGGGATCTTCCTCCAGATCATGTCATTCTCGATCTCCGTCAGGCACCGGAGCTGCGGCGCGCACGCCCGACACATAAAAATGTCCAACAACCCAGAGGTCGGTTCATCGGTCAGCCGTTTAGCGCGGTCGGTGCTAATTAAGAAAACAAGCACACACGTCACATCCTGCCTCTGGAAGCATTTTTCAGGCGCGCTGAGACTGACGCATTTCTTTTTGAGTAAATAGCGCGGTCGATGTAAACAATAAAAAAAAACACGCATACGTCAGGTATTTACGCCGAAATGCCTGTACTGTAAACCGGCGCCAGAATAGATGAGAAGAGCACACACACACACACGCCATGTCTGTTGTCCTTTCAGAAACACAACGGATTCCTCTCTATCTATTCACAGGCAAAGGTAATGAGTCAAAAGAGTCCGGGAGAAACAGCCGTTTTTTTATTCTTCCGCATGATACCCTGCCACACACACCACTGAAAGGCGTCCTTTCCTTGGCCTGTCGGCTTGCGCGGTGGCGGCAGATGCTGATTCAAGAGACACCAACTCACGCACGCACTGCGTGCACGCGGGCAGGAGAGGCGTGATTCGGACTACACGTCGGTGACGGTAGGCTACTGCTGCTGGCTCAAAATTTAAACATTTTTCCGAAGAGCACACGTCGGTGACGGTAGGCTACCGCTGCTGGCTCTAATCTTTAATATTTTTCCGAAGACCACGTGTCGGTGACGGTAGGCTACCGCTGCTGGCTCTAATTTTTAATATTTTCCCGAAGAGCACGCGTCGGTGACGGTAGGCTACCGCTGCTGGCTCTAATTTGAAATATTTCTCCGAAGAGCACGCGTCGGTGACGGTAGGCTACTGCTGCTGGCTCTAATTTGAAATATTTTTCCGAAGAGCACGCGTCGGTGACGGTAGGCTACTGCTGCTGGCTCTAATTTGAAATATTTTTCCGAAGAGCACGCGTCGGTGACGGTAGGCTACTGCTGCTGGCTCTAATTTGAAATATTTTTCCGAAGAGCACGCGTCGGTGACGGTAGGCTACTGCTGCTGGCTCTAATTTTAATATTTTCCGGAGAGCACGAATACAACGGAAAGCACCAATACGACAAACTAACGAAAACTCTGGTCTTTCGTTTGCTCCGTATGTCGCCATGTTCGCCCGTGGTCCACGGACGCAATATTTTTCTCTCAAAATCAAGTGGCATCGTCGTTTTTGGCGGGGTCGTCGTATACACGCAGAGTGACGTTCGAGTTTCACCGACCATAGGCCCGTGATCCGTCCAGTGACGCCGGCAAGCAACCAAACCTCTTGGGGGTAACACGAAGAGGTGACCAGACACAAACCCACACGCACAGGCTGAACGCAGAGGCAACCAAACACGCACCTACAGGAGTACCACGCCGAAACAGTAGTGGGCTCCACGGACCATTTCGGTTGAATACCCATAGGAAAGTACCCGAGAATAGCTTCCGATTAAAGGATAGAGCAACAGGGGACAGGACCTTAGCAGCCCCTCTTTGGGGGTCCGATCTGGCCCCCAGCAAGGCACATCAAGCACTGCTGTCCTGCCTGAGAAAACAGAAACTACAAGTGAGTCCATCGCCGAGGGTCGACCAGATTATTACACAACGCTTGGCTAATCCCTTACGCTTGGCGTCATCGAAAACGACGTCTGGCTGCACTTCCCCAAAGATATTCAACCTAAATACCTTTGAAACCCCTGCACTCGAAGCCCATAAAAACAGACAGACGGAAAGTCAGTCAGCCAGTCAGCCAGAGAGTGCGTTTATTGAGAAATCCGGGGGAGCTATTGCTCACCTGATCCTTTGTCGGTTGGTGGTCGAAGCCCTTGCAGAACTCGTCCATCTCCGGCCCGTCCGGCTTGCAGGGGTCTCGCTCTACCCTCGCGCGCTTGGCGTAAAGGTCCATCACGTTCACGGCCTGCTTCGTGACTCTCTCTTGCACCTGTTTTTCGACATTCATTATAATATACTATTAGCCCTAGCCCGGTTGTGTTGTCGTACATCACGCGGACGCTGTGTCCCTGTCTCTGCCTGCCTGCTTGTCAACGTCTCTCTCTCTGTCTCTCTCTCTTGTGTCTCTGTCTCCTTCTGTCTGTCTGTCTGGCCGTCTGTCTGTCTGTGTGTCTGTCTGTGTGTCTGTCTCTTTCTTTCGATCAGCTTTACGAATGAACCTTTGAGCCTCTGTGAGCTCAACAGCATAGACGGCTACTCTCCAGTCGGGCCATGCTTGAGATTGATGGCCGCCTTGCTCACCAAGTGTGACATGTGGCAAAGGGCGGGAGGAGGCTGTGCACAGTAGTGCCCGGGCCACGGGAGAGCCGTCGAGCACTGCTCAACCTCACAGCTTTCCGATAGCCCCGGGGAACAGGGTTATTTATGTCAGCTGATTTAGGTCGTCTGGAAATACCAGACTCAATAAAATCCTGCATCCAACACCGGACACTACGCAACTCTCGCTGCAAGGAATTCAGGCTTCATCGCAGGTGTCCGCTCTGCCCAGAGCAGCATGCATGAGGTTCTCTAGCAGCGAACCGTATCAAGTACCGCATACCCAACCAAACCACACAGCAACAGCAGCATCAATAAATACCTGCCTTACGGCCAGGAGGTCGTCGACGGCGGCGGAAAATCAAAAGGCCAGTTTCACGAACCACGGTAACGGGTGTGAGCTATTTATAGCCGAAGGACAAGGCAAGACAGTCGAAGAGACTAAAACCAACAGAAAAAAGCCAACCAACCTTCATTTTGCGACAAAGCAACCCAAAGGAACAAAACGACCAAGAAGCCCTTCGTTGTTGGGGACGAACAAAAAAAAAGAAACCACGAACCTTGAGCTTGTGTCGCAGCCAGCTGTTCTGGTCAGACACCACGGACAACGGCACCCGAGCCGCGTCTGCCGCTCTGTACCGCGTCAATAGGTACGACTGGTCCTTTGCTATTGGGAGATTCATGTCCTGAAACGCGGAGGAATACGCACACGTTGTTGAACGGGCATCGGGCGGGCGGGGGCGGGTCCTGGTTGGAACAACAACCAAGGCAGTCAGCTTTGACGCGATGCTTTCCGCATAGAGCAAAACGCGATGGGTGATGGCGGTGTACAAATCGACATGCTGTCTTTGGGTGATACACTCGACTCAGAAACAGAATACTTCGTTCGCAGCTGCGCGCAAAAGATTGTTCGAGTACTGCCACGTCTGTCTTGGCCCTCTGAAAGAGCGAACACGGCAGGCACGGCGCCTTCGCGCAGAACGTCGAAACTTGAATATGAACACAACGGCTTGCCCCAATTGCACTGAAAAGCGTTCATCACCATACAAGAAACCAACCGAGCACAAGCTATGCGCGCTTTGGTCGTTCCGAAACAACTGCATACCCCGATTGCACTCCACAGCGTTCAGTACCCGTGACTCGAAAGATACAGAGAACAAAAAGCCATGTGCGCTTTCGGGGTTCCAAACAACAAAAACAGAAGGAAATACCAGGTTCAGGGGACACTCGAGCGGAAAACGCACGTCCTGTATCGCGCGCCGTGCTGGTTCTCCTCAAGGTGAGGAAAATTGGGAATGTGTCGAAAGAAACGTCAGCAGCTACAACGCACCTGGCGGCGAAACATGGCCCATAGGCGAACCACGCACTGAACCCTTGTTTTCGATATAAAAGGAAAGGAGTACAAATATCACACAAAATAACCACGGGGCCCCCGCGCGAAGGCATACACACGCACGGCAGACGCACCGAGAACTCCAGCAAAATCTCATCCGGGTTGGCATCAGGCGTAAACTCGGGGGCCAGGTAGCGGCAGAACCCGAGGTCCTCGTGCACCATGTAGTCGTGGTGGTACACTATCCTCTCCTTGCCGAAGGCTCCCACCTTCAACCCTTGTTTCTGTAAGCAGGAGACAAGCGCGTAGGCCATGGAAAAGAGAGGGGAGACAAATGTGGGTTGACTTGGAAGCAGGGAGAGCGCAAAGATACAGGCGGGCACAACCTTCCCCTTGCCTTTGCACAGCAGTGGTGCGAAGAAGAATAGCAAGAACAGATAGCGTGGGCGGCGCAGCGCCAATGATGGCGGCAGTCCTGCGTGGTTACCGGATAACGGGTGCAGCGATAGTCACACGGACGGCGGTGTCGCGGTGTGGGGAATGGTAAGTGGTAAGGTGGGGGGATCGATTCGCGTCCGGATCGGGGGTGGATACCACGCTAAAAACAACTCGATGTAGCCGGCCGCGCGACTGCAAGGAGCACACAACGCAGAAAGAGAGGGAGCGTGGCACTGCCGTGCTTTGAAGGGATGGAAGGGGAGTTCTGTGGTGAATGTTGCATGTCCCGTGGGTCTGATATCCCCGTCGTCGTCACTGCTGTGGAAAATTTCTTTAGGGATCGTTCGCTGGACAGGTTACCCTCTGGACAAGGCGAAAGTATGACGCCCAAGCGCTAGTGTCACAAGACACCGCGCGTGCAAAAGATTGCAACCTGTCTATTAACCGGCACTGCCGTCCCGCCCCCCTGGCCCCAGTAGGACCGGCACACCGGCCATCCCTTCTTCTCTAGCACAAACCACATGATCCGCCGCTTATGCTACCCACGAGTGTCCATCGTACAACTGACACGCTGAACCCGTAGCAAACGTGCCAGATGCTGGTGACATGTTAACACTAACCTGGATGTTGGCAGACAGCGCATCCTGGCGGGCCTCTTCCTTATCGAGCTCCTCCTTGGACTTCTTCTTGCTCTTCTTGGCCCTGGGCTCCTCTCCCTCCTCATCCTCCTCATCCTCTTCTTCATCATCATCTTCCTCGTCCTCGTCTTCCTCGTCCTCCTCTTCCTCCTCCTCCTCTTCCTCCTCCTCTCTCTCCTTCTCTAACCGCGCCTTCTCCGCCTGCTCCCGCTCCTGCTGCTCCTCCTCCTGCTGCTGCTGCTGCAACTGCTGCTGCTCCAGCGGGACGAATCCCTCCCTTGACACGAGCACCGTCGGCCCGTCCCCCCGCGCCACGCTAGCCCGCAACTCCTTCCGCTGCTCGCCTGCCAAAGCGTTGAGGGCGTTCCGGTCCGCTTCCTCCCTCTCCATCGCCTCGATCGCCGCCTGACGCCCTGCCGAGGCTGCCTGTGCTATCTCGTACGACGCAACCTTCGTCGACTCTGGCACAGGCGTGCAACTTCGCTTCGCCGCCGCTGCCAGCGTTTTTCTGCCCAGCCCCCTCCTGCGTCTCGGCTTTTCCGGGGCCACCTCGACACCACCGCCGCTACTGCTGCTGCTGCTGCTGCTGTCAGCAGCGGCAGCACTGATCGCTGTTGATGACCTCCGCCCAGCGGCGCCGCCCCCAACTATCTTGCTCATTGAACTAGGGGGCGGTCGGCGTGCCCCGAAGGGGGAGCCCCTCGCAGCAGAACCAGCAGCATCAGCAGCAGCGGATACACCACCGGCCCTAGCTCTCCCCTGCAGCCTCCAGCCACTACTGGACCTCCCTGCTGCTGCCGTGGTCGTCTCCCATGATCGACGGTCATGTTGATGCACGGAAGTTGCAGCAGCTGTTGTTGTTGTGACGACGCTCGGTGCTCGAGGCACATGGCCGACGAAGCCTGTGCCTGTTTGCGCCAGGCACCCGAAGCACGCCAACAGGGGCAGTGCCTGTTTTAATCGTCTTTCGTCTCTGGTTCGCTGTCGTCTGCTGGCGGCCATGGCGGCGAGCGGAGGAGCCAGGCTTGTAGCCACTGACGACGCTGGCTGGCCGCGCGTCGCATGTCGCCGCCAAAGGCGTCTCAGGTGTTCTATACGTTTCGGGTGGCCTGCACAGGTAGGGGTAACTTGCTCAGCCAATCAGCGTGCAGCTTGATCGGATCCTTTTCATCCCACGGGACCTCCGGCCTCGCATGTCTCTCGGCTCTCTCCCTGCTGCTTGGAGCTCGCAATTCTGCTCTCTCTCTTGCCTTCTGCGCTGTGAAATACCCAGCAACACCTCAAGCACCAGCAACTCTTATCACACGAAATACCCCCAGCAAAGATGAAGCTGTTTGCGTTCCTCCTCGTGGTGCTTATCGGAGCCGCATCCGCGTTCGTCAGCCCCTCTGCCTTCAAGGGCAGCGCCTTGGCCGCGCCGCGCGCCACCCGCGGTGAGTGCATGTATTCATCGAAAGAGAGGGCCGGGAGTGATAAGTGGCACGGAAGGATCGGATGACAGCCTCAGCTGTGAAGGTTGCTCACCTCACGGCTCTGTTGCCGTCACGCAGGAGCACCTAAATTTGGCCGTCTGTTTTGTATGTGTGCAGCCCGCTATTTTTCCCTCTTGTGAAAATTGAAGAACACGGGGTGGGACGAGTGCGTTTGTGTTGTTCGCGAGTTGACATGTTGTCTGACTTGATGCTATCGGGAGTGTCCACACATGAGACTTGCGCGAAAGCCCAATTCCCTCATGGACAAACGAAAATGAACGACATATGGAGAAAGCTAGGCGAGGCGGGAGGGGGAAGTGGCATGCCAGGAGGGAGAGCTTTGGTGTGGATAAATCGACGAGCACATTGCTGCGGTCTGGTCATTGAGGATGACTGGTGGTTTTTGTCGTCTTGATCAAACAGGCCCCCCACCAAACACACAACACAGGTTTAGCGCGGTCGATGCTTTTTGTAGTAAGAAAAGACACGCGCTTCGCCCCTTCTGTGCGTTAATTTCGACGTTTTCGCCTCTTTTCGTATCTCGCACGTCGAGCATTGCCCCTCACAGCACCCCGAAAGTACGAATCAACACCGAGCCGTAGCCCCTCCTTCTTCGACCATGGCATACATACTGGCTGTACCGTCAACGGTTCTCCGCCGGGCAGCTCCATTGCGTACTTCTGTGCTCTGTTGCCTCTAATATATGAATATGAGAGGCTCCGTTCCGGAGTAACGCAGTCAACCCTCCTTTTCGTATGCACAGATCGTGAACCCTTTAGCTACCGCGAGATAGATATGGTTATGACTCAGCAGTTCCTAGAGTGCAACTACTGCTGTAACTCGCTGGCATGTGTTTTCTGTGACATGGCTTACAGAGCTTCAAGAGGATGCGGGAAAGAGCGAAGAGCTGCTTGCTCTCGTTGACTGGGATTCGAAGCCATCGAGGTTCTTAAGACTACCAGCAAACTTGAACGCGTGGACAAAAACCATAAACCCGTTTGTCAGAGGGTCAGCACGTGTGCAGTGCAGTTGTGCTTTGTCCTCGTGCTACATAGCACTCGCGAAGATTGGGTAGACTACGTGTAGACCAAAACCCCTCCCATCTTCCGTGCGGTTCTCGAGTGTCGAGGGGGCCAGCGGACTGGAAAGCATGTTCAACCGACCTCCTACAACACGAGACTGGCGCATGTTCATTGGCGAGCCGATTCACAAAGTGGTGGAGTCAAGAAACACAAGAAACATGAGCACCATGCTTGCTTGTTCATTGAACGAATCGCTCTCACTGCTGTCTCAAAAGTGCAACTTTCACAGTCAAGCTGAACGAGTTTTTTCCGCACGTTCATGGACGTGAAACCATTGCACACCTGGTTTGGTGCCTCTCGCTACATCTGCGAGAGCCTGTAAGTATCTGTTCTCCCCCCCCGAGACGTCTCATTTTCCGTAACTTGCGAAGCTATTATTTGGGACGTTTCTTCTTGACCCCTTACTTGCTGGGATTGTCATTTTTACGGGTCGGTTTGCCCGAGGCCAATGGTCCGTGACAGAACAAAACAGGAGGAATTTAGGCTTCTCCCGCTCTCCTACGCGCATGTGTGTGCTCAGGCTAACTGCTCAGCGTGTGTTCATCGCAACCGAGCAGGCCACGTCATCTGCGTTACCGTGGTCTGATCGATGGTGGTTGTACTTGAGATATTCGGTAAACAACGGTTGTGCGTTGCTGCGGTGTTTCGGGTACTTTTTGAAATTTTCCTGTATCTGAGGGTGCTCTTTTGTTGACTCCATTTGGCTCTATTCGAGAAAACTTGCGGGCGCCTTTCTTTCCACCGCGCCCATCGTCGTAGTCGGCAGAACATATTTGTCTCTTTTCCGATCTCCGAACTTTCCGGCTTGCATACGGAACAAACGTTAACCGGTGTGTAACGCCTACTTATTTTACGCCGTCCCTGAACATGGACTTGGGGCGAAATGCCGACCCGTACCGCACGCGGGAGCGGTTGTATTCAAGATTTTTGTGTGCCCTCCAAGCATCATTCCTTCGTGTGCGCATTCCTCGCTGAAAAAAAAACAAGCGATTTTGTCACTATTTGCCGCAGACAAGGGGAGGAAGACAAACGTTTTTTGTACGGCCTGCCTCGAGTAGGTGATGAAACAGCTGGCCGGCACGCCCGACCGAAACATTCGTGCCGCCAGTTTTGCCGGAGAAGAAGCATGTTGCATGAACCTCGTTGAAAAGAGTGCGTAGCCCACCTGCCCGGCCCAAACTCGCACGTATTGCGGTTAGTAGCGAAACGCTTTCGTTGTGGAGCGGTCGTGGGTATTGATTGGAGGCGATTCACAAACGCTTGTAACCATGAACCGGCGCAAGCTTCCGTGTACGTATGGTGCCTATGTCACCCCCGTAAGGACAGATTTGGAGGTTCAATGTTGTACAACATCCGTGAAGCAAAGGGCTTCGAACCATTTGTCTTTCCCACTTGGGAGGACGGTCCCAATGGCCGCCAACAGCGGGAGCACCAATGAATCGTTTGTTCATACGAAATTGGGGGCCAACGATGGTCATGTTGGAGAGTGACGTTTAGCGTCACATGCGGCTGCAGTTTCAATGGCAGGCAGCTTGTTATTGCGTGCGAAGCCTGGCATGACCCTGCACACGTCCTGCGGCCGATTCCAACGCCACCTTCGATTTATTTTCCGGGAAGCTTCGATCTTCTTGAACCTCCCGATCGAACTCTTCTTTTTCTGCGAGTGCTGAAAAGGCTTTATAAAACCCGTTGCTCACCACCAGAGGGCATGTTTCGTCCCCGATACTCACCGTGCCCCCCCCCCCCCCCCCCCCCCCCCCCCCCCCCCCC